TCGACTTAAGTAGACTGGAGTTAAAGTGGTCTGATTTGATATCCAATTTTGTATGCATGTGACTGCTCATGAAAGAATCATTCTTGTTCTTATTATTCCATATTAATAACCCAAAATTGATTACGTATATTTTATTTCGTAATGACAGTGATTGATCCATAGTTAGGCTATATATTGAGGTCGTAGTTTTCTGCTTGGTTTTGAATGGTTGAATCAGTTCCATTTGTTACTTTTCTGAATTAATTTTTTTGGATTCGGGTACGTATAAAACATCACAAAGAATATTTTTGTTTTAGGGTTTGTTTCGCCCCCTTTAGACTCGATTGGGCCTTTTTATGTGTTACATTATCCTTTTTCCTTTTCTTTTCAATTTTCCCTACTATTGAGAAAGATGTCTCTTTTTCTTTTGATTGTTAGAATACTTCAAGACATTTACCACATTACCACTTGTTTTCAGAATTTAACTACAACGTGCTAGCTGATAAAAAATTAGAAATGTAAGAAGCTAAAAAACATTAATATATCCAACTACTAAAAGGGAGACCTAATCGATAAACGGAATAAGTTAATTTGATGATTCTAATTGATATTTATCGTAGACATGATTTGGCTCGAGTAACAGAATTCTAATCTTGAGACGAACTGAGAATCATATAAACGTAACATAATTTGTGAGATTACACACGAGATATTCCATCTTGCAACTTGCATGCAAAGGCTTCAAAATTACCCCATGCACTCACACGTGCTTTGGTGATGATGATGCTCTCTCCCAACATAACGAATATTACGTTGAGATTATGTCTTGAGCTGTGAGAGAGAGATCTCAGTAACATAGATTGATGCGGAACTATAGAGAAGTCAGATGGTTTTATTAAGAAATTAAATAATGATAAAACAGCACGATATCTACATTACTCTCAGCTCAGAATTTATATATGTAAGAAAAAAAAAGGAAGATATTAAATAACAAACGGGAAAAAATTAATAGACAGCATATACAGAGAAAAATGTAATGGTTAGAATTTAGAACTTATGATAGACTACTCTTTCGGAATAGACACGTAATCGAATGTCACGAGGGAGGGTATTTTTATATTTGTATACTAGTGATGTCTGGTCACGATCCTGGCCCAATATATCTTTAGATCTTAGAAATGTTTGTATCTGGAAAAAAAATATTTTGTATTTGGCCCGATATATTTTAGAAATTTTTGAAGAATTTAGAAATATTTTATAAGTGTGATCATAGAAATGTTTGTATTTGGCATAAAAAAAAAAAATTGTATTTGGTCCGGTACATTTTAGAAATGTTTTGAAGATTTTAGAAATGTTTTATAAGTGTTACTTCTTAAATATAAATAAACTTGATCAAATATATCTCTTGAAGTAAATGCTAGACAAAATATGAAAGCATGCCAATAAGTTTAAATATTAGTAAGATAATTTATTGATGTTCTCCATTGGTTGTGCCAAATCAATACTTAGTTTTGGAGATTTATAATAGTTTTGTAGTAAGCTTCTTCCCAAAGGTATACGTTTAATTGTTGGAACTATTTCTTCTAAAAGTTTATAGGTAATAAAATATCAAAAATATGATTTTGAAACTGGTTAATCACAAATATGAGAATGAAAATAATGTAACTTTGCATATGTTTCAAGTTATAGCAAAAAAGAACTCACCTCACCATGGCAAATAAAGAAAAAAAAAGAAATTAATGATAACCCATTAAAAATTGAGAAATTTATTTGTATAAAAACACAAATAAACGTAGAAACATTATTCCTTCCCTCTCCGCCTCAAATTCATAAAAGGTTTCCCCATAAATTAATTAGAAGAAGCGACTTAAACTTTTTATATGATGAGGAACTAAAAAAAGTCCAAAAATCAAATCCAAAAAAGCATATTCTTAAAAGTCCGAACACAAAAAAAAAACACGCTTCATTTGTAAATAAAATAATAATAATAATAATAATAATAATAAAAATAATAATAATTGGTCAACTGGATGTATGAAACAAAATCAAAAGCAATTAAACAAAGAAAAAACACACTTCATAACTGACCATATACAAAAAAAATCGAGACTCCATAATTAAAAAAAGAAAACTACTCTAATTGAATGAAATATAAAAAAAAAGTTTAAGAAACCACATTTTGTAACAAAAATTCATACAAAAATTAATGAATTCAATCCAAAAATTCATACAAAAAAAGTTTAAGAAACCAATTAATGAATTCAATCCAAACAGAACTAAAATCATACAAAAATTCTAGGCTAACTAACCATATAAGAAACCACATCATATTACCTGACAACGGCTACGGTAGCTGTAATGGATGGACGCATAAAAATAATAGTAATAACACTATTCTTGAATGGGAAAAACAAAAAATAATAAAAGCCAAACAAATGATCTGTAAAAATAAAATCATTTAAATTTTAATACCTGTAATTGCACCACCACAACGGCCGAAGCAAGATCAATGAGAATTTTTTTTCCCTTTGTGTTTATATAGAGAGGTAAAAAGAATATTTTTTGAAGTCGAAATTTTATTCGATTAGGATGTAGTTGATCATCACTAATGAAAATATTGAACATGCTAATTGGAATGGGGTATATTTCACCACATATTCTCAACTGATGATTGATGAGCAATTTATTTATTTTTTTTATTGTGGAGAAGGGATTGATTAGGGAGTCCATTGTGGTAGAGATGGGGATGAGGATTTGGGGTTTTTTAGGAACCCATGGTTTTTTTTTTTTTTTTTGGCGAAAATAGGAGGTGGAGGTGGATTTGGACTGCATTTACCTTTTAAGTCTAGGAGATGTGAAAATAAAAATTTATTTTAAAAATATGATGTGAAAATGCCACATGGCAAATGGTGGTGTTTTCTCTTAAGTGTGGTTTTTGTTTCTAATATAGTAAGATGTGAGGTTAAAAAATAATACCCGCTATGTCCCCCAAAAGTATTGTTCAGTTTGAGATTTCACTTTTAGTACAATTTGAACTAAAAATGAAATATCAATTTGGACAATATTATGGAACGGAGGGAGTACTAACATCTACGTTAATTATGATTTAGATGAGGTCCATAAGTAGAAAAAGAAGTTCCTTCACGGTTTGATTGGGTAATTTTACACGTAGAACTTGTATTAGTATACACCTATGACTATTCCTTCCATCCCAATCAAATTGTCCAATATTCACAGCTTAAATTATAAACTTAGACTCACGACTTATTAAATTTGTCTCATTTTAAAATTTTGATCAAAGGAATAATTAAATCTAATCATTTGTAATAATAGTAGTTTAGTTCGAAGATCACCTATTTCAAGGTTTAGAGATTAATTTAAAATTAGAATATCAAATTTGCACAGATGATAACATCAAAACGACCAAAGAGTGAAAAACTCGGGTTACCAATTTCATATAATTAGCTTTTTTTTTTTTTTAAAAAAAAATGGTGGTTATACAATTCCTTTTTCCTGAGGATACCAGTTGACGATTGACTCAACTACTCACAAGTCACAACCAAGAAAAAGAGATAAGAAATAAAAGCAGTTGTTTTCAATCAAAATCAGCATTATTTTTTTCCTTTGGAAAAAAAAGGCAGCAATTTTTTTAAATTTGTTCTATTTGCATTTTCCCTTTCATCTTTTTTGGTGTTGGCTGGCTAACCAGTCACAACCGACCCGACCAATCGATCTCATTATTGGCTCCATATAAATTTAAGTCAAGGTCAAGCATTTAGGATAAAATAGGTGATTGGTCACGCTCATATGGCGTCATTTTGTATGGTGGTATGTAGTACATTATTTTACTCCCTCCATCTCAAAATTGTCCGTGTTTTTTCTTTTTTGAAGATTTAAAGTTTAAATAATACTTTTCTATACCACAAAAATAATACAAAATTATATGTTTTAAATTTTACTTAAAAAAATTAGAATTTACAATATACAATATGGACTATTTTTATGAAATAGTTGGACTACTTTTTTTGTTTCTTTTGTTTTTTTAATACTAATAATGCCATCTTTATTTGCACTTTGTCAAGTTCATAATAACTCATTAACCAATACTATATCAAAATCTTGCATCTCTTACCTTCAAGAGAAGAAAAGAGAACCAAACAGAAACGATCGCTTATTAAGATGAGTATGATCATGATTTAGTTATCAAAATCTTGAAATTTCCACGTTACTTCAAAATGTCAGTTCGACATAATAATATCCTAAGAGTACTATGATCCCGTAATGTAGTAAATTATTGCCGTCTCAGGCCTTACACCTCTCCTTGTAATCAAAGAATTTTCCATACGTTACTTCGTGTATACTGTTGTTGAATATGATTAACTGTAAAACATTTTTGTGTATAACAGCAGGGCGAGAATTCATTTAATTATTAGAGTGAATGGAAATTTAAAAGTCTAATTTGTAGAACTAAATTAATGAAATCAAGTGGCTAGTTATAATAGAGGAAGTATCATATTAGAAAGATCAACAACCAGAATGATAGATTTCATAATCCGTCTCGTCTCATTTTAATAGTCCAGTTTATTAAAATAGGACTAGAGTGTAATTGGTATTGATTTGGTTCACTATCAAGTATTGTTTTCCAGAAGAAAATATTTTTAGAACGAAAACCCCACAAGAAACTGAGAAAATGACAAGCCTCTGAAATATAAACCACTTGAAAAGAGTTGACTCCACTACCACCACCCACAGGCCATATAACCCATTCGGCTTTTCTTTCACACGCAGCTCCCCACTAAAAATGTTTAAGTTGAGCCACAACAACCCTTTTCAAAATGACTCAGAAAAGGTCCTGCACAAAAATTCTGTTCGTTTTTTTTTCATTGGAGTGAATTTTAAAAGTTCATTTTTGCATTTAAAAATTAGTATTCTTCGTATTCTTTAAAACGATAATCTTACCTATCATCACATCTATGCATTTCTGATACAAATTTCTTTTCTTTTCTCTTTTTTTTTTTTTTAAGTAGTTTCAAAATTAAAATGAAAACAAAAAACGGAATGGAAATATTTTGTTCATGTATGCCTAAACATACAGTTTTTTTTTTTTTTCAAATTACAGGATATTCACCGTCGGTTACAGTAACTAATCTCCCTCGCTCATGGTTTTTTTCCCATGGCGAGGTTCGAACCCCCGATCTATGGTTAAGGGTAAAGGAGTCTTTACCACTCCACCACGACCACTTTGGTTTAATTGACGAAATCGATCCATATAGTGGTAGAAAATCAAACCATACAGGCCCAAAATCAAAGCCCAAAAGAGCAATGCACTAGTCCTATATGAATAGTAACTAAGTCAAAACCCCACATTTTTTAAAATTTTGGTTCAAGGTTTTGGTACCTGATTTTATACTCTTATCAACCAATTTATAATTTCACCTAAAGCCGCAGGTGACATAAGATTGGAATGAAAGCGCAAAATGGTTTTGAATCTCACTTTTGCAGCAGTTATGTATCCCCATTAGCCATATCTTTCTCAGCATTCTTCATCAATTTGAAGAGTGCATATCCTCCTCGGTGGCAGCCTGGCATCTTCATCGCCATCTTCTCCAAATCATGCTGATGCAAACACAGAAATGAGCTATACTATGTTACGTCTGGCAGGAAAAGAGTAACCAAGGGAAACAACAGTGGGATCATCTACATGAGAACACCCTATCTGAACAAGAAATAGATGAATGTGGGTAATTCCTGAGTAAACAAGCATGAAGAGCATACCATTGATACGGAATAAAGCTGGGTTGACTCATAGGCATCAGCCGCACTGCAATATAGTCGTTGGATTTCTGTAGACTCAAGACTGCATGTCATGAAAAAGAAAGCAGCTGGTCTGACATTCAACACCCGACGGGATATTCCGATAAAGAGTGGATTGCCCTGCATGACCATAGAGTAAACTAGCACATTTTCAAACTAAAGAATGAACAGGCATATATGTTAAATATTTCACCAAAAGAGCATCCATATCTTGAAAACAAGCTTGCTGCTAATAATGAAAATCCAAAATCCAAGATTCAAAGACTTGTCTCATATATGAAGCTCGAAGACATCTCTCTAAGTTTCCCACGACTAAGTTATTAGACAAAAGAGACTGCTCAATGCTAGCAGTCTGCTTAAATGAAGATCTCATGAACTTACTAAAGCATCTGGGGGAACTCCAATTTCTTCTACTACTTCACGGATAATGCTAGAAAACATCTCCTGTGAAAGCTTTTCCTTGATCATTTCTTGGTTGTTATGATCACTGGTAAGATGAGATGAAATTCCAAGTTCTCCCGGCTGTCAAGATTTGGAAATTGTATTCATATCAGTATTAACCCTGCAACAATCAAAGAAGTCCAGACATGCTAGATACTTTTCATGTCATCATCTCATAGAGAATTTATACAACAACAATTAAGACTTCCAGAGACCTCTGGATGCCCTCCGGGGAAAACGTAGTGCCCAGGGAATTCTCCCACATTGTTACTCCTCTGCAGCACAAGTATTTTCTTGTCAGATGTCTCAACAACAGCTCCATTTCCAAGAGGGCTTGCAGTATGCTGACATCGCCTACAATCATCTGAATGGGAATAACACTAGTCTTCAGTTGTCAATAACGAAAACACTAATTAAACTAATGCATAAGAATGAGCAAGCACACAATGGATTTCATAAAAAAAATCCAGGACTAGCTCCGATGGGGATTGGAAGCCACATATTTCATGTCCTTTCAAACTTAAAAGAGATGATGAAGTCCAACCTTCAGATGAAATGAGAAATCTTTCCCACAAAGGACTTAAATTGGTGCCCACAAAGGTCCTGAAGAGAAAATAATTCTCCATTATATGAAAAATAGTATGAACTAAAAACACCACAGTTTCTCTTTATAATGTCCAAGGAACAAATGGAAAGAGATGTAACAAAATGAAATTATGATCCCGAACCAAGGCAAAAGAGAGAACCTATAATCTGTCAAACCCAGGTGAAGGCTAACATGCAGCTCCTCATTTGAACCAACACCATTGTAATACGTATGTCCTCCATACTGAAAATTATAGTTGGGATCAGTTGCAAGAGCATAAATAAACTGTTCAATTAAAATTTTAAATGCCATGATCAGATCAACATGACTGCCACCACTGCAATGCTTTCAGAAACTTTCATCAATCATTCCAATGTGGATCTCTGTGCATGCAAGAGAAGCAAATTTTTTGCCTAAGTGATTATAAATAACTCATTTTGTAGTTTTTTTTGGACTGATAGCATGAGAGAAGTGGCCTCAGGATTGAATAGGTCTTTCATTGCACATGCACCTGATTTATGGTCTACATTTAGGTAGCAAAATAACATCAACTTTTTGTACGCAATATGCAGTGTTGCTAATTTCAAGTTCTACACTTTTGCCTTTTCAAACAATGCCTTTCCAATGCTAAATAATGGGAAAAGAAAAAGAAAAAAACAAACAAACAGACTACTCCAAATTTCCAAGATGCAACACCATTCATCACGAAGTATTATAACATGGCAATCAAACAACAAAGGGACATTATTTGAATGATATCATTAGAAAATGTTACGAGCGTATCACAATGGTTCACTTAAGCAATTTGATCCGTTGTTTTCACCTACAGTAATATATCTCATCACAAACAACACAAATATGCATACAAAGGTGAACTTTCGAAGAAAACCAGAAAAGAGAGAGCTTAACTTTGCATACCCTAAACTTAAGACCATTGAACAATGAAGCATTCTTCTGAGTTCTTGCATCCCATATCTAAAAAAACAATTAAGAAAAGAATATACTCATTATAAAAACATAAATGCTGAAAACAGTTCAATTAAGCCAGAACTGTTTGAAGCTATCAAAGCAAAAAAAAAAAAAAAAAAAGGTATAACCTCAGAAATGGAGTTCTCTAAATCAGCATCTGGGTGAGGAATTCTATCATAGGCCTCATTAAGATCAACAGTCACCTTCAAAATCAAAATTCAAGGCCGATAACATAATTAACAATTGACAAAACACAAATTCTTGAAACAAATTAAAACCCCCCACAAAAAAAAACGGGAACATTATATTATAGCTACCCAGAAGCTCCAATTAGCTGAAAGTATAACCACAAAGAATGAAAATCGATCAAACAGTTAATTTCAGAAACCTGCGAGGGAGAGAGACCGTTAGGACAGGAAAGCAGAATCTCGTATGCCGGGTGATCCTGACCGTCGGTTTCCATTTTTCTTCTGTATTTTTACCTTCCTTTCTTCAGTTATGTGAAATTGTCTGGAAGTACAAAGTGGTAAAAAGAAACTGGTTTGGCATGATATTGGGCTTAGATGAAAATTAACCCAAAAGGCTAAGGTCGACTGGGTTCTAAAATAATTGGGCTGAGTTGACCCAATGCTGTTCACGAGGAAATTCTACTCTGATACGTTAAACAATGCTGATATGTTCATTTATGAACGATCAAGTAAAAGATTGTTAAAACCAATAACAAAAACATGCCTCATTATTGAGTGAGAACTTTAAAGAATTGGCAACATAGATCGACTATATAGATCATATGTTGTTATGGTGACTATATAGATTAACACTCAATTCATCATTCAAATTTATATATTTCAAGTAACTTTCTATAGTTTTTTTTTCCAGATTTTTGTATGTCTATTGCTTAATTTGATTTTTTGATTATATAGTTACTACCCTCTAACCTAGGGCACCCGCAAATGTGTCCGAACCATGTTAATCGCGATTCTCTCATTTTCTCATTTATCGACTCTACCCACTATTTTTTTTCTAATTCATTTATTTTTAATCCTATCTATCCTAATATAACCATACATTCATCTTTAACATTTTCATTTTTACTGCTCACAAGTTTATTTTATTTTACTTTTTTATTTTCATATTACTATTAGGGGTGGGCCATTGGATCTGGTCCAAATTGAATGGAACACTTGAGGGGGTTACCTGCATCAGCAGCAGAGTCATTATGATCAAAGGGGCTGTAAAAGGGTCTGACAGATGAAGCAGTAGGTGTGACTCCAAACAAAGACAGGCCTCCTGGTCGGGCAAGTTGGGTGTGGGCTTTATATGTAGCATAAGGATATGGACCGCCTTTTTGACTTTGAGGCAAACAACAACAGCATATTCACTTTACCACTTTCGAACTGATCCACAATCACAGTAAGTTTTGGACCACCTTTTGATTTCTTTCCCATTAGTACCTTATTAAAGACAACCACCTGCCTCCACTGATCCATTCGGTCCAGCTTCCACTTTCGGTAGTACTTATTATTATTTCAACCATCCCACACAAAAGAACAATTACTACTAAGATACTAGTAGCTAGGTGCTAACATTTAGACAAATTTTTGGAGTGTTTTAGTCTATTGAATGGTTCAGTCATTCATTCATTATAAAAATATTATATGATTTCAAAATTTTTATCCAATTTAGAATTTTAATTTTATTACAGTTTGTGTTGAAAATGTAAGTCTGAATTTGACAATTATTTAGGGTGAAGGGAGTACATTGATCATGCGTAAAATTATAAATCCATGACTTAGAAATTGACTTAACTATTTATTTACGATTTTATTTTAAACTTATTGATTTATGGAAATAGAGTTATTGACTATATATCTTTTTTAAAAAAAGAAAAAGAATTCATTTGTTTTATGCCAAAAAAAAAAAAAAACAAAAAAGATTGATCGCCGAGGATACTGAAAAATGCTTCTTCTTCGAATTATTTTCATTCTATTGCCACAGCAGAAATATAAATATACATAAGAAGCACAAATCATTTTTTTTTCTGAAACAATAAAGATACTACTTCATTGCATTAGTTAACTTGTTACAATATTTTTCTTAGGAAAAAAAAAAAAAAAAAACAACCGCAGAGTAAGGAAAGACTTTTCAGAGGGGCATTTGAAAACGACGGAACAAATTAGTCACATCTAATTAGTTGTGTAGAATTATTTCTTCTATTTGCAAGCGAAAATAAGAGAGTTCAAGCTGTCAAACTAGACTGAACACACAAACGTAGTTAATCACATTAATTTTTAGGATAATCGCGATTCGCGGATTAGAAAATATCACATGTCTGAAAAGTGCGTGCGGAGACATTTCCTGATCAAACAATATATCGTTACATTAGAAGTATTAATATTTAATAATACGTGTTTTTTGGTCGATTGGAAATAGATTTGATTACGAAATCACGAAGAGAAGACATGTGAGATTTACATATCACATTGCACATTAATTATGGGACAAAAAACCATCATGAAATCGGCACAACCAATTGACAATTACTGTAATTGTGTCCTTTCCTTCCTTGAGTTGACCAAATTTAGTCGAGCTTATTAGTGTTAATTGAACAACCTTATACATCAATGCATGCATGTAGTTCGTTTGTTGGTACAAGTGAGACGGCTTAAACTAGCTAGATTGCAACTCTAGTGGCATGCATAATTCATCCTAATTACATCGTGATTTTTTTTAAGCTACCAAATCTACCCCTACAAACTCCTCTCACTCTTGCATCTCCTAAGAATAGATTGTGGGTCTTCCAGGAAGGCCCCTAAACAACTGGAGTAACTCTCCGTTCCTGTAAGTACATGGTGATTAATTCATTATTCAAGGTATAACTCCGATACATCAGTTTATCAATAGTACTGTAGCTCTTCTTTGGGTTAATGTTACCTTTCGCTTAAAAACACTATTCATATATAATTTTAGTTATATATCGATATTTCCAAGTTGGTTTGGAATTCAAATCTTACTAGTTATGACAAAATGAGCAATATGGTACGTTGTCAGATAAGTAACGCTGCAAAATTCTAGTAAAGAGTTGTTTTGGTTCATTGCTTTCGCATCTCCAAATGTAAAGCCTAAAAAATTTCGGCTTTTTTTTTTTCCTAACAGTGAAAATAAAAGTTGGGTTTATTAAATTTGTCATCATATATATTTTGTGTATCGTCTTCCATTTTATCCGTAAATTATATTTTGTTCATCAACAAAGACACTATTTAAAGTACGTATCCGGGAAGAAGAGATCTGATTTGACTGGTTATCAATTTCCACAAAAGCGTACTCCCTTCATTTCAATTTATAAGTCGTTTTAACTTTGGAGAGATTTTTCAAAATGTAGGTCGTTTTACAAATACTAGGCAAACTGATGACTATTTTTCATAAATAAATAATGCCAATCTATTTTCATTTAATCTTGTTTATAATTCCAATATAATTAATTGAGGATAAAACAGATATTTAATACATAAATTAATTATTTGATGATTATTTTCTTAGTTTACGTGTAAAGTTTAAAGTGACTTAATGCTCCTACATGAATTAGCCATCCGGAATTAATGCTCCTACATGAATTAGCCAATGGTAGTGTACTATGACATGGGCAAAGACCAACCTGTCAGTCCAAAGTAGTATAAAACAAATAAAAGAAAATTGAAACTCTAAACCCTTCTTTTACTGCGGAAACTGCAAATTCAGCACATACTTATGCATTTCAACTTTAAAATTATGGATTAATTTTTACTGTCAACTGTTGATGCAGTCAAAATCTTTGCTCGTCTATGGTATATAGTTGTCATGACCCCATATGCAGTTAATAATGGACCATGCATCAAGCTTTTATAGCTAAGGGCATTTATATGGAAGCACCAGACACCATGTGTCATGCGCTCAATTATTGTGGAGTATTTATGCAAATTACCATAATTTATTGGAAGCGTGTTGAATGAACCCGTAGTCATACACATACAATATGTAGGTTATGTAGTGTTATAGTATTCTCTCCATTTTTTTTTTTCTAATTCTAATGTAAATTATCTTTATTAGACGGAATAGAGTGATTTTACTTCCGCCATCAGAATGTATAGACCATATCTATGTAAACCGATAGAATGAAGACCCTTTACGAACGGGAAAAAACAAACCGGATCGATTGCGACTCTACGTAGCTAAAAATTAACTTCGGACAATATTTATTGAGAAGTAATTCCTGGACCTATATTGCATCGATCAAAACATGTAAATATATGTGATAAAAATGTTTAAATTCCTTCCAATTTTCTATAATCTGAGTAAAATTACTATAAAGCTAAAAATTTTCATCTCATTCTCGTGTATATATTTGAGATCCTCAAAGCCATGTGGAAAGCTTCCTCGAAGTGTTATGCATTTACTATTGGAAGTTTGGAACAAAGCATTAAAGTGCTTTTGCTGGATATTTCATTTAATTGTTCCCAACTGTATAAACCAAGTACACAGCAGTCATGAATACAAAAATAAATTCGTATGCTTCGGCTCAACAACATTCGATCGCAGCGTAAATGTTAAGATTTTGATTTCTTTTTCTTTTTTTTTAATTATTATTTTTTGTAAGGTATCAAGTAATGCGGTTGCCTTCACTGTGCAAAGTGCAAACCCACAAATTTGAACCATCTAAAATTGAAAACCCTGTTGTGAAATATTAATGTCTAGATATAATAATTCAAAGCAAAGGTAACTAATAACTTATTTAATGATAATATTTATAACTTCTCTACTAGGGACTTTAATATTATCACATTCTAATAGTCTATATATATATTATGAGATTTAATTGTAAAATTTAAGAAGAAAAATGAAATAGAGCAATTTTAAGATGAAGACTAAGAAAGTAGAAGGAAGAGAGAAAGATTCATTCGATGCAAATTTTTTCTTCTGAAACTCACATATATATAGGAAAAATTTTGAGACAAATGGTCTCTATTTTCCTGAATCTATTGTTTATAGGTTTTTGACCTTTTTAGTCATTCATCTCTCTACAACACTCTCACTTGAATGATCAAATAAATTACACCTACAATACTGCCTCGTTAAAAACCTTGCTAAAATAAAAACCCAGTGGAAAAAAAAATTTAGCGAAGGAAAAGAAAGTACAGTGCGTAACTATCTCCCCCTGATGATAACATCGGTAATTCTTCACATGCTGTGTAAATGACGCATTCCGATGTTATGAATATATTTTCTGTAAAGTGCTGTAGGAAGTTACTTTATAAAAAGATCAGCTGAATTCTCATTGGAAGTAACAAATTAAATATCAATATCATTATTCTTCATTAGCTCTTTGGTATATGCAAAGAATTTTGGAGGTATATGCTTGGTCCGATTATTCTTGATATGTCCTTCTTCTAATTGGTGAATACAAGCTGCGTTATCTTTATATAGAATGGTTAAATTTTTCTTGACTGGAAAACCACAAGATGTCTTTATGTGTTGTGTTATTGTCCTGAGCCATACACTTTCTCTACTTGCTTCATGTAATGCAATAATTTCGGCATTATTTGAAGAAGTAGATACTGTTGTTTGTTTCTGGGAACGCCAAGAAATTACAGTTCCTCCATATGTGAACACATAATCAGTCT